TCGCAGGGCCGGCCCGCGGCCCGCGCTCCATGCCGCGCGCGCTGTGCTGGGCGGGCGCTGTCCGGGCGCCGCGCCGGGCGCTCCCGCGCCTTCCTCGGCGAGCTGGGGTCTCCGCGCGCAACTTTCTCGGCCCCTCTCCTCGCCCGGTGGGGGTCGCGGCGGGCGCTTTCAGTGCGCGGGTCGCAGCTCTCTCATTGTGCGCCAGCGAGGCCGATCGGGCTGTCCTTTTCCTCCCGCACTTAGTCTAGGAGGAAGAAAGCAAACAAGACAGAGGAGTGAAGCCCCCGTACATACATGCGCCGGGGGGATGTCAGCGCTGCTCCACCTTCCAAACAGTCACAGATCAAACAGTGTCACCGCTGGAGCGCCACTTTGTGCCCCGTGCTGCCCCCCCCCCCGGTGGGGGGGCTTGGCCACCAGGATCACCGCTTCTTCGGAGGCAAAATCTAATACAAACACATTTCGAGCATGGATTTTTGGCCGGTCTTGATCTTCCAACAGAAAATTTTGAAAAATATACAAAAAGCACCCTTTTCCAAAAAAAAAAAGCCAACAACAACAACCCGGAGAGTGTGTGCCAGGGGGGATGAAGAGCAGACATTCACTGGGTGGGCGAGGTGAGCGTGAACTGCCCCCCCCCAAACTCCTGGGAGAGAGGAGATGCACTCTCCCTCTCTCCTCTTTTCAGTGAAATATAACACACATTCGGATCGCAGAGCTTTCAGACAGTCTCAACTGATAGACAGACACATCGAGCTGCTTTTCCTGCTTCAGTTTTTACTCCTCCTCCTCTCGCCAACGTCACCCTGACAATTACAAATAGGTCTCACACAAACCATACCTGTCAATCTTTTTAATTGCTTTGTTTTCTTTTTTCTGGAGCTAAACAATATGACACAGAAAAGAAATCTTAATACAGCATAACATAAAAGATTGCTTGTTGGAGGAAGACATTCAGGGGGTTGTTATTATGATCCACTGGCTGATCCTGGGTAAAACCCATGTGCTCAAAGTCAAGTTAACCAGACTTTAGTTCCTGCAGTCTTAAACCTTTTAGTCCCCCCTCCCCAGCATGTATATGCATACACACACGCCCACGTGGATCCAAACCACCCTTGGGTGAAACTTGCCCTACATTTAAGAAAAAAAAATACCTATGTCACTTCTCCAACCTTAGTTTGGAGGTTAGACTTTGCTAGGAAAGGCACCGTGTGGCTTTTATGTTTTGGTAATTCGTGGGTAAGTGGAAAACCGGACATGCTTGTAAATTAAAATATACACCTTACATGAAAATTTAAAGATGGACTTGGCTCATCACAGAAAAGTGTAGAAATATTTAATTTGGTCCCTTTATGGAAAGTGAATTATTTGGTCAATGCACACAATTAGGGAGAAAATTGACACAGTAGAACGACAGCTCTTTCTGGCTGGGTTAGAAAATGAGGTCTTCATATATCATCGCGATGTCTCCAATTCTATTATGCCGGGGCAGCCCCACCTGGCACTTTAAAATGTTTATGTGCTCTGGGAATTTGGCCCTCTCGTTTCGGTGTGTGTTCTCTCTCAATGGAAACCTCTACCAGTCTTGTAGAGCCACTTAAAACATGCGTGGAAAAACATGAAATCTAGGCCAAGATAAATAAAATGGCTTAGTTCGTGCAACTTGCACGGGACAGGCCGAGGACACAGGACGCTGGCGAGGCGCTCCGGGGACTGGAGGCCCAAGGCTGGTGCGCGGGGTGCACAGGTCGCCCGTGGCCCTAGGCTGGACCTGGTCCGCGCGCACTGGCGCAGGAGCTCCCCGCCCGGCTCAGGCCCCGGCTTGCCCTGCCGCCGCCCTGGCCGCGCTCGGGGTTGATTTGTACCACCTTGCAAGGAAGTGAACGCTTCGCACGGGAAGGGGAGGCGCCTGCGCCGGCCGCCGCACCGCTCGGGGCCGCTCGGGGCCGCCCGGGGCCGCCGCGGCTCAGGGCCGGGAACAGCGGCCGACGCGCCGGCCCCTCGCTCGCCCCCCTCCCACCCCGCCCCCTGTTCTAGGAGAGTCAAATCCGGCTTTCAGAGCGTGTGGAGGGTGGGGATATCCGGTGCCTCTCCCGCGCCAGGAGGAGGGGGAGGGCAGAGAGGATCCTTGGCCAGTCTGCGCCAAGCAGATTCAAACCAAAACAAAAAGATTAAAGGAGCAGTGGCTAGGGTGGCCGCGATTGCCAGCCGGGACCCGGGCGGGCGCGCCGGTTTCTACTAGGGCTGTGCGGCTGGCTAGTGCTGCGCTCGGCGGGGCCGGGGGCGGGGGCGGGGGCGGGAGCCGAGCGTAGTGGGAAGGGGGGAGCCGAGGGGAGGGCCCGGGCCGGAGGAGGGGCGGACCCGCCCGCACGGAGCCGAGCCGAGCTGAGCCCCGCTGCCCGAACTGGGCGCGACCCCGACCGGCGACGGCAGCGCAGACAGCGGGCCGAGGCGAGGGCGGGCCATGTTGCGGCTGGCGCCCGCCTGCACCCGAACCATCGTGGACATGTCTTACTCCCGCCACTTCCTGGACTTCCAGGGCTCCGCCATCCCCCGAACCATGCAGAAGCTGGTAGTGACCCGGCTGAGCCCCAACTTCCGCGACGCGGTCACCCTGTGCCGGGACTGCCCGGTGCCGCTCCCTGGGGACCGAGACCTTCTCGTCCGAAACCGGTGAGCCCGGCGCGCGTCCTCTGCGGCGGCCCGCGCAGCGCCACTGCTGCCTATCCCGGGCCGCCTACGTGCCCACACTGCGGCGCGCGCCCGGACGCGCAGCCTGACTTTGCGAGATCCCGGGAAGTTGAACCCGCCGCCATCTGGCGAAAGCGAATGTAATGTGACTTGCTAGTGTGAATATTCGATGCCACCGAATGTCCTCAGAACTGGGGGTTATTTTAATTTGGGATTCCCCTCCCCTCCCCCACCCTTCCCTCCTCCCCCTCCCTCTCCCGAAATAAAACCGACCGGACCCAGAAGGGGAGGCTCCCCGCCCGGCCCACCCACGCGGGAACCCACTGTTCCTGCGTCGACGTAATCTGTAGTGGAACAGGAACAGCCCGGACACAACTGCGACGTTTAGGTAAACGTGCTTTGCAGGAAGCCGCGGGGCACCTGGCTAGCTTTTCCTGTCCCCTCCAGCTTGGCAGCCGCCTCGCAGCGGCGGAATCTTTCCTTGGCTGTGTTGAGTGCACCTTGCCCTTGTCGTCTGCGTGTTGTCAGTGCTGTGTGACTGTTGTCTGTCCCCTGAGTGCAAGGGCGCTCGCATGACGCGTGTCCCGGGCAGCTGGGCCAGGGCCGGGCGGTGGCATGGCTGCATTTGCCTACATGTTTGCAGACATTCTGGTGTCACTGAGGTTTTTGCTCGACCTTCTGACTGTCTTTTCCACTCCCCTGACCTTCACCTTAAATGCGTTTCCACCTAACTAATCCTTAGTTACTGGTGAAGCGACAGGAAGGAAAGAGCCCTCACTCTGTGGGAATCATACCCGCTTGGGTCTCTCTCTGGGCAGGGCTTCCCCTCCCTGCCAGACTTGTAAGCAAGGCGCTCCTCTATGCCCTGTGGCCTGCCAAGTCCCATCCGAAGCATTCCAGCGTTGTATGTTTCAGGTTTGATAATATTGTCACAGGGAAGAGTTAGCTCTGGCTGTAAATTGTGTGCCAGAAAGTACTAGAAACCCCTCGGGAAGGCAAAGTCTGAAGGACAGAATGTACCCTGCCCAAGTAGCTGTATGCAATTTTTAATCAGTGCAGTTCAGAAATTCCTATCAGCCTTCCAAACAGAATACTGACAGTGATATTAAACATCTGGAAACCTGTTGGAAATGTAGTAGTGGAGAGAGCCAAGGATGGGATTGAGGAGACCAGTAAGGAGTGCCTCAGAGGTAGAGGTGTGCGTGTGTCCTTAAAGGTGTTTGCCTTGGCCTTGCATATGGCAGAGGACAGCATCGTGGTGGGATGAACGCTAAGGCTGTGAAGTGTAAGAACACGGTCTGAGTGCATTCACGTGGGACACACGGAGTCCACAAGTGATCTGCCAGAAGTTAAGACCAGCTGAAAAGCTTTATAAACAAACTCTGGTGGGGGAAGCATTCCACGCAGGGTTTTTTGTGATACGGTATTGACTAAACGCTAATAAAAACACAGAACCGCGTTAATAAAATGTCTTTTAAAAACAGGTGTGAATGGGGAGGGAGCTACAGGAGGGTACAGGCCCAAGGAAGCTGTGAAGTTTGAGAAGCAAACGCCAAACCTTAGCGTGGTGGGACCATCTGCCACCTGTGGAGGTGGTTGTGCTCCTACACTGCTGAGTATCTCCACTCTACCTGCCAGTGTAAACTGTAAACTCTGGGGTACCATTCCCTCTCTTCTCCCTTCAGGAGTTACTGCCAGTCCTGCCCCCTCCAGTTCCCTTTCCCCAAATGGCTGTCTCTCTGTCTCTCTGTCTGTCTGGCTCTCTCTCTCTCTCTCTCTCTCTCCCCCCCCCCCCCCCCCTCTCTCACACACACACACACACACACACACACACACACACACACACACACAGAGCAGGGAATGTCCTTGGTCACCAGAGTTGTTCCCAAAGCCCAGGGATTTGGATCACTGAATTCAGTGGTCCCAGCGCAGGAGCACTAGCTTGGTTTAGGTTACTTTAAAATCCGTCCCTCTTCTTTCCATCCACATATGCCAGAAATCCCCTTCATATAAATATTGTATTTATAGGAACAACTTGACCTCTAACTTTTATCTTGAATCCAGAAAAAAAAATGGAGCTACTTTTCTGCGAATTGGGAGGCGCAGGAACGTTAGCCTCCCCCTTACCCAGCTCTGTTGCAAAGTCTGCTCCAATTGTAGGCAGGTCTCATTCTTTTGAACAGTTCTAGTAGAGTTAGTATCTTACTGATTTTTAAGAAGAAAGGTTTAATAATTTACTGCAAGTTAGTTCATTTAAATCCTCGACCAAATCTCCCCATAAGCAGTGTTAATTGCATTACAATGTTATGCAAGCGCTTCTCATTTTTATCATAATGAAATCTGCTCTGGAGTGAATGGATTAAGCCCAAATTCTCGCTTATGGAAGGGTATTTGGAGGTTTTAGTTGTGTTCCATCTGACTTTTTTTTAGTGAACATTTCATTCCGTCTTAACAAAAAATACAAATTCTTCGTAAGGAGAGAAGTGCTTGTAAGCTAGACATTGATTTAGAATAATAAAGTTTACCATTGAGGGGAGGTGTGAAAAGGGGTGTACAAGATTTCCCTAGAATGTGTAGTTGACATTCCTTTACCCGATTCGCACCTCCGTTTCTTTGCACGCAGGAAAACTTCTGATTTCCCCCTCTTCGCTGGGCTCTGGGATAAGAAAAAGGGAGAGAGCATCTCTGGGTCAAATCAGTTTGTTCGATATTTTTAGCTTTTTCGTAAGAGGGTGACAGATTATTCGTTTCCAAATATTTCTAACGATTTTCTCCTCAAGTGTAAGATAATGGAGCAGAGAGTTTGTAGGAATGGCCAATAGAGGGGGATGGGGAAGGCGTTTTTTGATAAACGGTTTGTTGCTCACGCGAGGGTAAAAATACTTCCGTTCACTCTCCAGGCCGAGATTCCTTTCTTTTATTTCTTCTTTCTTTTTTCCTTTCTTCCTTTTTAATTTTTTTAAAAGAAAGTATGATTTGAACGATTTTGTTTTGTATCCCATTATTAAGTGCTTTTGCTGTGCACTTGCGTCCGCATTTGATTTTTGTTCAAAAGAAAGCATTTCTCTCTCTGTAAGATCTCCTTGTTTCACAATAAACAGCACGAAGGGGTTCAGCCCTTTTTAGTCTAAATAAAGTAAAAGTATATATTTGAGGACCGCCCTTCCGGGTCCCATTCTTATTCCTGGGGTCCCTGGATTTTAGTCTTTTTCAGTGGATCCTCCTGTCGGATTGCTAGAACCCTCTACTCTCTATAAGCACACATTTTCAACTAAGTGGGGGCGGCTGCAAGGCTCTCCTCTGCGCAGCCTTCCCAGCTTCTTCCCGTTTTGCTGCTCACCATCCCTTTCTGTCCTGGCACCCGAATGGGCCCCTTTTCCCTCTGAAGCAGCTCTGCCCTTGAACTTGTTTCAGTGGAGCCACAGCTAAGGCTGGAGACCCTGGCACAGCTTCTTACCAAAGCCCAGGTAAGGACGGACCAGTTCCCGGCTGCAGCTGTCTGACAGCGGGGAGGGAGATGTGGCTTCGAAACTGGATCTAGGAGAGAGGAGAGACAGGAGGCCTGGTACCGGGGCCCGGAGACCCGGGAGAAGGCGAGGTGAGCTAGCCCAGCTTCCTCATCGCGGGCGGGTGCCTCCAGCCCAGGCTTCCTTCCTAGCTGAAGCACGCTGTAGAAGACCTCAGGGCTGGGGGACAGAATGGTGGGGTGCGTGGAGGCCAGGGTCTTGTCCGGCCCCCCGCCTGGGGTGGGGGTCTGACAGATGCAGGGGTCCAGTGGTTCTGTTTAGGACTCAGAAGAACTTGTCCACCAGGCGGAAGCCCCTGTGTCGGGCACGAGGTCGAGGTTATGCGTCCTGTGTCTCTGCACGGGGAAGCCAAGGCCAGGCTGCACGGGAAGGGGGTCACCAGTGTCTGGGAGTGATGATGGGGAGCCCATGGCCTGCGGTGGGGTGGCTTGGCACTTGAGGGAGAGGACCCAGCAGTGCTCACAGCCGGTGCCCCAAGGCTGGAGACAGGAGCTGCTGGGCCTGCGGGTGGGCTCCAGGGCCCCAGTGCCTGCCAGGGCGGTGCGGGCAAAGAACCTCAGGTTTGGGATCGGTGTGGTTTTTAAGCAAACCCCGTGGCACACTCAAGGCTGCCCAGCAGCAGCCATCGCTCTGCTTTGGGCCGAGCCCCCCTGCCACCTCTCCAAACTTGGCTTGAGGCGCCCTTGTCCCGTCCTGCTGGCACCTCCCTCGCGCTGCTTTTCCCCTCCAGTGTACCAGCCACTTCTCTGCCTTGTCCCTCTCAGCAGGGAGGGAGCACTGTGGCTTCTTCCTGTAGAGCCCCCTGGACTGGACTGGACACCCCGGTTGGGGGGAATGGGGGGAGTTTGAAGGGCCACCAAAGAGAAGCTGACTGACTGCCCTGAGAGTGTCCCTTGGAGCTCAAGGTAGGGACTCCCCTCCCCTCCCCGAAGAGGAGCCGCCAACATTTTCCGTTGAGGCTGGGGGAGGGGGCAGGAAAGGGTTAACTGGGCCAAGGATCCCGGAGAGCTGTACTGGGCTTGAGCCCCGGTCCCCTCACCACTTAGCAAACCCAACTATCACCCCCACCCCACGGGCACCTTTCCCAGAGTTTGCTTTACAGCCTAAGGCAGGACAGATGCTTGGGCTGTGCCCCTGGCTGCCTCTGTGAAGTCCAGAGCAAGCTCCCAAGAAGCTGGCCCTTCTCGGAAAGGCCGGGCCCTGCGAATTCTGTAAACTTAAGGGAAAAATGGCAAGTCCTCCGCCCTTCTCTAAAAATAAATTGTAGGCATCTTGGTATTAAATGCCAGATGAGAAACCTGCAAAAATAATTGTTCCCACTTCTCACTACGACACATTATTTAGGGCATGGAATTCGGTAACATGTTGTGGAGGCTGTGGTGAACAGACTTCAGTTAGGAGCTTGACTTAGGGAAAGAAACTGCTTCCCAGCTTCCTTATTTCCTTAATCTGCAGAGAACTTTGTGCTTGGTAAATAGACGGTAATCAAGGGAGCATTTGCAAGTGCACACAGTGAGTATATTCCAGTGAAACTGTATCCTCACCCAGTTTTGGTTTATTAAGTTAAATTTTAAAATTCTTTCAAAGTGACCTACTGAATAGCTTTTCTTCTGCCAACAGCTACTACCTTTTATTGCATTTTTAGGGACCTCCCTTATCTGTCAAAGCCACCTTCTGATATTTTTAATAAATCACTTTTTTCTGTGCGTATCAGGGTATTTTTTTATTATGACATATATACTGAAAATTTTTTAAAAGCTGATAAAAGTACCGGCCTCACAATTAAATTGACTCTGGATACCATAATGAAACTAATCATCTGGTATTAATCAAGTTATGTCTCTGCTTCTTGTTGAGGAAAAATACAGTAACAATTTGCTTTCCTTTTCATCTGAAAAGGACTGTAAAATGTTGAATGTTCCATAAAAATTATTTTCCCCAATTTCTGTTCAATTAACCAAAATGCGTATGTTTTACACTGGACAGTTAACACCAGAGAGAAAATTTTCTGCAGCCGCTTAAAACAGCCAGGACAGTAACATGTAGCAACCGATGACCTTGCATGTTCCATCAATCTTTAATAATATCATTGTCATTACTATTATTATCTGAGGTGTTAACTTGTTGCCAGAATCAATTCAAGACTACTTTGAATGTCTTTTATCCCAGTGCTGTTTTAAGCATTTTTGTTGAGAGGCCATGAATTTCCAACTCATAACTCCAGTGAAGTTTATATGTAATGAGGGTTTCTGACTTTTTTCTTTCTCTTTTCCTTATTTCTTCTTTTGAAGGAGGATGGAAATAAATGGCATATGAAATAAATCACTGGCTGATTAAAGTGATACGAAATTATTCCTAAATTGAGGAAGAGTAAAATATGATACAATTCAGTATGGATCATTGTTGGTCTGGGGATTTAGCTCAGTGGTGCTGCTACCTGCCTCGCAAGCACAAGTTTGATCCCCGGTACCAAAAAAAATAAAACTGAAAGAAATTATGTTCAGTGTAGATCATTGTTGAGCTAATACATGTTTGATTTCTTTTTCAGTGGAACAGCAGGACTAATTTTCCCAAATTGTATCAGATCCTATAGCTTAGCGACCCCCACAGTCACCAGAATTAGAGAGATATTTTTTCTAACCAAAATATAAAGGCCTTAGCAAGGAAAACATCCTAATCCATTTGTATTTTTTTTTCTTCCAGATTTGTTGGTATTAATGCATCTGACATCAACTATTCAGCCGGCCGCTATGACCCATCGGTGAAGCCCCCCTTTGATATAGGTTTTGAGGGGATTGGGGAGGTGGTAGCGTTAGGTCTCTCTGCCAGTGCCAGATACACCGTGGGCCAGGCTGTGGCTTACATGACACCTGGTTCCTTTGCTGAGTACACAGTTGTGCCTGACAACCATGCAACTCCGGTGCCCTCAGTGAAACCAGAGTATCTTACCCTGCTGGTAAGTGGCACCACTGCATACCTCAGCCTAAAAGAGCTTGGAGAACTGTCAGAAGGGAAGAAAGTTTTGGTGACAGCAGCAGCTGGGGGGACGGGCCAGTTTGCTGTGCAGCTCTCAAAGAAGGCAAAGTGCCATGTGATTGGAACCTGTTCTTCTGATGAAAAGTCTGCTTTCCTAAAGTCTATCGGATGTGATCGTCCCATCAACTACAAAACTGAGCCTGTTGGAACCATCCTGAAACACGAGTACCCGGAAGGTATAGATGTGGTCTATGAATCTGTTGGGGGAGCCATGTTTGACTTGGCTGTAGATGCCTTGGCTACCAAAGGGCGCTTGATAGTAATTGGGTTTATCTCTGGCTACCAGAGTCCTACTGGCCTTTCGCCTGTGAAAGCAGGAACACTGCCAGTCAAATTGCTGAAGAAATCTGCCAGCATCTGTGGCTTCCTCCTGAATCACCATCTCTCCAAGTATCAGGCAGCCATGGAGCACTTGCTCAAGCTGTGTGCCAGTGGGGACCTGGCCTGTGAAGTGGACCTTGGTGACCTGTCTCTAGAGGGCAGGTTTACTGGCCTGAACTCCATATTCCGGGCTGTCGATTATATGTACATGGGGAAAAACACTGGAAAAATTGTAGTTGAATTACCTCACTCTGTCAACAGTAAGCTGTAAAAACAGAACAATGACATAAATCAAAGGAGAAAGAAAACGAGTACTTTATGCCTCAGAATTACTCAAATCAATTTATTTTAGTTGGTAGTGGATATAATATTTTTTAAAGCAACAGTAAGGTGTTAATGAATGTAGATCTCTCTCTCCCTCCTCCCCTGTTGGACAAAAAAAAAAGTGCCAATAAAAGTTCCCTCCATGGCTAAGAGGTAAAACATTTACATTCGATTCTTTCGTCATGGACGGTCTCATTCCAGATTTTATTGTTCCAAGGAAGTAAATTAATTCCTGATGCAGCGCCTGATCAAATCAGTATGTCTTCAGCTTGATGAGATTTTAAAATCAGTCTTGAAAACAGTTCAGAGCCTTCTTTGCTGTGGGAGACTTTGCGCTTGTGTTAATAAGTAGTCTGCAAGTGAGAGGTATAGTGAAAGACAGCCATGTATTTTCACTGTCCGTATCCTCAGGACATAGCCCCCTACCCTTTTTTCTATAAATCACTAAACTATCTAAACAGACATTTGGAGGAGAAGTCTCCTCAAAATTTGATTTGCTTGTGTTTAGAAAATGATTCAGCAAACACAGATGGATCTTAAAGAAGAGTCTATTTGATAGCTTTATCCAGAATCATCCTGTTAAGATGTATGGAATGGAAAATTTCCCTGATCTTTTAAGAAGCCAATTAGTGTTGAAAATTTACATAGACAGGAAGTAGGTTTTGGAAAGGGAAACTACAGAGTTTAAATTGATTTTTAATATATGCACAGAAAAGAAAAAAGTATGTGCAACTTTCACAGTGAGCATTTGCCTACACAACATGGACCACAGAAGGGAACACACCCTGGAGGCACAGGTAAGGGGTTAATAATGCTACACTTCATGTGCCTGAGGGAGCACGGGGACCTAATTGATCTAAATAATAATGTATTTGCTTCTGTTGGAAGCTTGTGGTCCAGGGATATGGGTTTGTGCTCTGTTCATGGAAACAGAATAGCAGTCAGTGATCCCGTATTTCCGTTGCACTTCTCCAGTGTTCTGGTGGAATGAGATGCTCTTTGTCACCATTGCCTAGTGTCTCACACACACACACACACACACACACACATATGAAAAGTAGCTTTCTCTTCTGAATCATCCCACAGCTGGTCCACTAGCTTCTTAACCTTCAGTGCCACAAAGGTTGTCACCACTTTCATCCTTAAGTCAAAATCCCACAGTGCCTTCTAATTGAAGGTGGAGCCCACCAGATTATTTTGCAGAATGTTGAGTTTTGAGCATCAGACATGCTCAAAAGAGGAGTGTGATTAAAGAGGAATGTAATTAAAGATGCTCCAGGAAACTTGGGGACCAGATTTAATTCTTTTCTTGCATCCGAGGAGCAAGGAAATCCTACTGCTGAACAGCACTTAGTATCTATTTTACAAGATTTACTCATTTTCAGGTGCCTAATGTAGCTGCTAGCATGCATGCACAACAATACAATTTATATGGTAAATGGAACCAAATAATGGCTTCACTGAATGTTATGGCTGCACTGAAGGGAAATGTCACGGTAAATAGCTGCCAAATTATGGATCATGCCGAAGTGTCACAACTGCACTAAAGACAAATAGCACTAGAGGCTATTGCCACTGTGACGCTTTTGAGTTATGAAGAAGGGTAGCAGCCTGATTCGAGGCTCTTTGTGTCCTCATCCTTGCAAAGGGCTAGTAGTGCAGGGGACAAGAAAGGCTAGTCCAATGTGGTGCTTAGTTATTAATCTGTCCCTTTCAGACCTAACAGCTGTAGCAAAACAGAAAGAGACTTTGCTTCCTTGCTCTTTGATACACAAACAAAGCGGGGGTGGGGGGGACAGGTTTTATGAATGTAACCGTGCTCAGAAAATGACTGGTAATGGAAAAATGTTGTTATAAAATAATCTAATCAAAGGATATTATTAAATTTAACATAGTATATGTCTGAAAGGCTTAGTTGCTTCTTATGCAGATGGATGTGTGAAATCTAAGCAATAATGCACTTTCCCTCTCGGTAAAGACTTGAGGACTGAGGACATTACCAACTAAATTGCTTCTTCTAAACTGAAGTGAGTCCCGGATTCTTTCATTTTAATGGGAGGGTAATAAAGATGAAAGACCAACATTTTATCTGATGGATCCCTTAAGCTACGGAGTAGAAATTTATTATGTTTTGAGGGGATATACTAAATTCAGCTATGCAAAAATAAAATCCAAACACCCAGGTTTAAAATAAAACATAATCGGAAAACCTCATGTTCTCTCTGTCCCCACACTGAGAAACTACAGTGCATGCTGTTTTCATTTATTCTTAGAAAACAAGCATGAAAGATTTCGGTTATTCAGATAATGCCAAAAATATGTTTAAACGTTTTTTTATTCTTTTGAAAAATGATTTGTAAATTGAAGGTCATAGTTCAGCATCAGTTTCATCCTCTGGGATTATTGTTCAAGACTGGCCTCTAATGGGAGGTGAAATGGTGCGAGGGTTTCTATACCTTTCTTCTCAGCTGTACTACATATCACAAAAAGTACATCCATAATTCAGGGCTGTTGTCAGTCTTTGTTTTAGAGAAGGGGCCCGGGTAGAAGAATCACAGTGGGTAAATTATTCCTCAGTTTTCAGTGTGGACTTCTCTGCATGTTGGGTTTAAGGTCACTGGCCAGGCAGGAAGGAAAGAGCTTGGCTCTTAAAATACAGCATCCCAAGAATTAGGTACCATTTGGTCATGTCTTCTAAAAAGCCAAATGCTATTTTTTCAAATCTGTTTTGCATGCAGAAAAGACCAACAGTATCTTTTCAGGTCCCTTTGACAATGATAACTACTGCTGACTGATTTCAGCACTAAAAAAAATCAAGGATTAGTTTGCAAAGAAATGACAAAGTTTACACAGTATGTTCTGTAAATTGTTATTGTATGATTCCATCTGAATGAAGTTTCTCAGGAGTGGAATAAATGGTCATTAGTATTATGTTCCGTATTTGTCCAATGAACGTGCAGTGACAAGTAGCTGCTGCTGATTAAAATGAAAATCCTGCATTACGTACTTGAGGAACATTGCAGCTAATGAGGATGTAATGTCCTCGGTACAGCACAGACCTTCTTTTTGTGTTTCTCACCACAAGATGCTGGAAACTTGACAGATGATATCATTCAAGACACATGCCTGCCTTAGGGACCTGATTTTTGGCGTCCTGCTTCTGGCTTTTGTTTGGGTAACATTTATAATGGCCACCCGACTTGTACCTGTAATGTTTTAACCCATCCTGGAGCATGAATTTACCACAGTCATGGTAGCCTTTAAAATGAGACAGTGCTAAGCACCAAAATATTTTTCTTGATTACTTTACCACATGTCCATGTAGGATAAATACCATATTGTAGATTATATAAAATTAGATGAGCAATGTGTAGCTTTCAGATAAATATAATAAAAAACCAACAGTTATCAACATTGGATGATAATTTCCTGAGGTTTGCAAATTTTATGAATGTAATTCAGGTACAGAATTGCCTGATTTGGTGAATTCATGATTTATTTATACTTTCCACTTACTTACATATTTTGTGATTTATAAAATTTAGAGAAAAATTAAGCTTTATTAATGAATTTTGCAATTTTTTAGTTTTCTTTTGATTGTTCATTTGTTTGATTTTGAAAAGCTACATTTTCTGTAACTAATTTCCCAATTGTGGTCCAGAATTAAATATTTAGTGTCATATTTCCCCTGAAAATCAAAATGCAAAGCTTGATTATCAATGCTATAATGGTATGGTCATGTTAAATATTGAATTCTGTTTTTACTAGCCTTTTAGCATCATGCTATTTCAATTCATAAAAGGAGGAATGCTTGGTATGAGGGCCTTATTGCTTATTATTACCATGAGTAGTCTACAGAAGATTAGCCAAAAAATTATATGAAATACAAAAATAATACTTTGCTAACATGTATCAGTTCAAGTAAATCTTGGTATAGAGAGTTGATATTCAAAGAAAGCCAAATAAGGATCATAAACGTGCCCTGGTGTACATACACCTACCACGTACTCTTGGTACTCTGCTTGTAGACCTTCCTCTCAGGGCCACTCCAAGCATCGCAAGGGGGTTGGATGCACTCAGGATGTGTGTAGTGGATCCCCAAAGCAGGAGGGTAAGTACTGCATGGAGGACAGTTTGGGGAAAACCAATATGTGTTTCATATGTGCTAAGAAGCCATGAGCCAAAAGCACAGAGATTTAAAAGGTCCCCTTAAGTAAGAGTTTCCCTTGAAGGGTACTATCTGACAGTGTCTTTCTGCCAATGTGAAATTAAAATAATAATTAAAACACACCCTGCTGATGGGTGGCAGCATCCAATATGAAAGATGGATTTGTGATTAGAGCTCAGAAAAATGTTCCATGAAAATGCCAGCTACTGTTGTTTCTTACCCTCTGCATGTGGAGAGCTGAGTAAGGTCTTAGAATGACTCCTGTGAACAGCTCCTTTGGTCAGTGGAAGGTGGGGAAAGATATAAGGAATACAGGGCATCCCACTTGGAAGCACTTTGCCTTATACCCTCTATGCCCAAACCTGAAAGATCCTTTCCAGCTCAGGGGGTGGCTGTTACCAGCAGAAACTTACAACTGGAAGGAGCTTGTGTCCTCTGCCTTCATAAATGAATTGCCCTTTATGTGGCAAAATTTGGGGTTAATGGGTAATCTAGTTCTACCTATTTTATAAGTGAAGAGTCTAAGACACAGAAAGAACAGGAGCCCTGTTTAAGGTTACAAATTCTGCTGGATTCAGAAGCCAGGACACAGATAGAGCCCTCAGGCCCCCTCTGCACCATCCTCTTTGCCATCTGCCAAGGTCCCCCAGTGTCTGGCTGAGTATGTTGCAGAACAACAGCTGTTCTTTGTTACGAATCTCGTGGATAAGATGATGGGAAACCCAGGGAAAGTATGGTTCTGACCCTGACAGTGTCATCACCTCTTTAATCGAGCACAAAGTAGGGTGACAAATCATTTGATTCTGTGTCATCTAAATATCACACAACCTTTTGAAGGAAAACGAAACAAAACCCAGTGGAATCATGGCTGAATACCCACAATTTAGTTTTACTGCTACAAGGTACGTCTCTTTACCAGTATATCCTTAAATACCAAATAAAGTCAAATAAGGAAAATCATATGTAGAATGCTCACTCTCCAGAACTATTTCCCCTACTCATTTTGCCTATCAAAAGCTGTTAATGATCAGCTGTCATAATCATTTGTAGTAAAATATCTTGAATTTGAACTTGCTTTTTGTACCTGAAATCGAGTTCTGACTCAGAAGCTCAGTGCTGCATGGCAGGGGCTGCCTCACTGGTAGCAGGAAGTGCCAAGAGGTGAAGGGGATACTGATGAGTATGGAGAAGACTTCATGGGGTGCACGTTTCATTTTCTGATGTGGCAAGAACCTCATACTCCGCACAAACAACACGTCATAATTAAGGCTCAGAACTAAGCCATTCAGAACCACATGACATTGAACACTCATGTCTTTCCCTGTCGTTTCTGTCTTCTTTCCCTCAAACCCATGCATAACAAGTGTAAACTTTCAACTTTACCTGAACAAATCCTTTCCCAGTAGAACCAGCTTCTTTTAACATTGAAAAATCACTTCACAGGAACGGCAACAATGTCAAAGGCAATCACACTTTGTAGGAAACCTCACTGCTCACCATGGGACCAGTGGCTAGAGTGTTCTGTCTACGTGTTGGAATTTGCATTTGGAAATTGAATTGTCTCCTTGAGAGTTTTTACTCAATGTAACTTTTACATCCTGGATGGGTAGGCCATCCTGGATGTAAAAGTTACATCCTGGTACATCAGTATATATGAATGAGTTGAAAGAGCCCCAGCGTCACCCTAGTTGTTCAAAAAATGCTCATTCTGTAACAGCAGTATAATTAAAGAATCACTGAAGAATATTTTATCACCAACTTTTGCCTGTACTTTTTACAACATATTAGGACTTCATTCCAAATTTAACATTTGAATGCAATGCCCCTGCCCTCACTTCTTTACTATTACACAGGTAGAGGTGAATGACTCCTATTTCAGAGATGGGAAAATTAAAGCACAGAAAAATGCCTCCCACAAGATCATGCCATCGCTGGCTGGGCCGAGACTGAGGTCTCAGACCAAGGCTGCTTTGCATTAGGGAGATGAGCTGTCGCACTTTATCTAGCCCAGAAGACATCACTTGTGAAAATGCCCATCTTGACTCAGTAGCCAGCCCGGGTGGGGTCTGGGAACTGCAGTCTCCTGGGGAGCCACAGGCTGCTGGGCCACAGACACATTTCGAGTTCAATCGTGCTGCCTTTGGAGAGAGTACATCTTGCAAAATGCACTGCCCTAGGCATCTCAGAGCAACCCGAACTGCCTGAGTGTGAATTATGAAACTGAGGTCTTTTAACCAAGAAAATGGTTGCTTTTACAACCGTGTTTCAGTTTTCTCCAAAAAGCAACCCTTTCAAAACTCACCTGGAACACTGACAGTGTCTGATGTTCTTGTTTCAGCTGTTTTCATACATCTGAACAGAACAGAAAGGAGGTCCAGGAGGGTCACAGGAAGGCCCTGGACTAACAAGCCCTCTACCTCTGCAGGTGAAGGCAGAGTCCTCAGACCTCAACTCCTATGTGTTCTCCTGCTTTTGTAGTCAAATTCTTTGTCGTGCCAATGTTCTCCGCCCCCTGGCCTGGGGTCACCAATTAAACCTCAGTCCTTATACAGGAGCCTTAGATGAAAATGCCAGCAGGTCTCTGTAGGTCTCCTATCATTCAGCCTATTGCATCATTAACATAATATTTTACAATTATCCTGATGAAAGGGAGAGTATCTGATCTATATATCTATATCACCTTTGGATCAGGTCACTTGAAGCATGCATCATGTCAACACATGTCACCTTTACTTAGAGATTAAACCTCAGAAATTATAGTAATTTAAGAAGCTGCAGTCTTTATAAGGGAAAAGTTAAATCCATGCAAGTGCTTGTTAATATATTCCATGGTAATCAGAGTAGGAGCTCTTATCTAGGATAAATATAAGAAAACATCTTTGTCTCAAAAAGAACACTAATTCAGTTTTGGACAAAAACCTAATTTTAGGAGTTTACTGATAGCCATGGATCTGGAGGCAGGGGCAAGCATTCTGCGTGGGGTTGGGTAGGTCCTCAGCACCCTTGAGTACCTGTCCTTAGTCCTCAAGGGGCTAGGTCTGTAGTCACTGTAGCACTCAGTCTCCCAGGGCACACAGCCACACCTGACATTCCTGTTCTGCACTTGCCTTAGAAGAGCCCCAGCTAGGTGTGGTGGCACATACCTGTAATCCCAGTACTTGGGAGGCAGAGGCAAGTTCAGGGCTAACCTGGGCTACGTGGTGAGTTCAAGGACAGCCTGAACTACATAGTGAGACCCTGTCTCAAAGAAGAGGCCCAGAGCTGAGAGGAGCAAGAGTCTGTGGGGCCAAAGGATAGTCCGAAGGACTGCAGGAAAGTAATTCTGCTGTGTCCAGCACAGACTGGAGGCAGGGATAGGAGGAAGCAGCTACTGATAATCCTCATAAAACGTGGGGATGGAGAAGACGGGTGGCCGAGCTGGGAATGAGCAGAATTAGCCTTTAGAAGGGTGGGTTGTGCTGAGGAGAAGTAAGACAGTACCTTTTTCTGAAAACTTTTCAGGGCCTTTGCAGAGCTCCATTTGGGATCTGAAAGCTTTCAGGGTCTCCAGGCTGCCTGGCTTGGATCATTGAGCCTTATGAATGGAATCCATGGCTTTCGTTTGAACAAAGAGGAGGGGGTAGTAGGGAAGGCAATGTCCCTTGCCTGCCTGCAGTGAGTTTATCTATTTTCACTGCCCCCAGTTCTGTGCAGGCAAAGATAGACACTCTCACTTCTGGGCGGCTCCCACCCCATTTCTAGTAACTTTCACCGTGCCCTATCATCTCTATTCACAGTATGTCTCCTTGGAGACTGCACTCCTGGAGGGTAGAGGTGGTCTCTGTCACCCAGCTCTCCAGTCCTTCATTGGGCATAGTATCTGCCTGCAAATATGAAATCAATGTCTGTTTTTCTCTTGGTTTTAAAATGGTCCCAGTAAACCCCTACCCAGTACCTTAGGGTCTGCTACTGCACAGCTGCAGAGCAGGCACCACACTATCTTGGTTTTTTGTTTGGGGGGGCGGTTGGTACTGGGGATTGAACTCAGGACCTTGTGCTCGCAAGGCAGGCAGCGGAACCACAGAGCTAAATCCCCAGAGCCTATCTTGATTTTTTAAAGTTGCAAATGAGACTTAGAGAACCTACTTGCAGTTCTCTTTAATCCCATGCCACAGCCTCAGGCAAACCGTTGACCTTTCTCCACTGACACTGCTTCTCTGCAAAATCAGGTGAATCAATTGGAGCACCTGAGACTAAAAATGATGGATCACGCAGGTCTCGTGTCTACCTGTTGGTGCAACAAATAAATATGTTTCCTTAATAGCTGTTTTAATATTCTCTTGGCATTATTCCAAAGTGCTGATCTAGCACTACCGTAAATGAATCCTCCACGTGCTAGACTTCTTCAGAAGTCT